CTGAGAACCACATGATTGTGGTACTTCAGGAGGAGGCGGCAGTGAATGTACTGTCTGTTACACAATCATCTCCTCCCTGACAAATGGCTCCAACTTTTTTTTCCCTCTTTTCCCTTTCGGCCCGCGAAAAGGGGGGCAACAAAGGAGGGAGTGTTCCTCATGCCATCTCTCCTCACAGGGTTAGTCCTGTGGATTATCCCATACTGAACCATTCCCATTGATATTATCATGTCCCATGCACTTAGTTCCAGTGAAACCCTTTAAACTGCAGGAAAGTGTTGTGGGATTGTGTTTTCACTTGCATTTTACTTTTCAGTTTGACTTTCATCAGAGCTTCGGGTTGTTATACATCAAACTGAGCTTGTAATGAGTAATATTCTTAATTAAAGGGGTCATATAATGCAATTTCAAGTTTTCCTTGCTCTTTGGAGTGTTACAAGCTGTTCGTGAATAGATAAGATCCCTAAAGTTGCAAAGACTAAAGTCTCAAACCCAAAGAGATGTTCTTTATAAAAGTTGAGACGCGTCCACGCCCTCCCAAAACGCCTCGTTTAAACACGCCCCCACATGTCTACGTCACTGTGTGGGAAGATTTGCATAACACCTCCCAAATGTTCACGCAAAGAAAGAAGGCGTAACTTTTATTCTTGCTGTAGTATTGTTGCAGCCGCCGCCATGTCATGTGTGACGCTGTGAAAGCGAAACTACTTTGTTTGGCCTTCCAAAAGAGGACACGACTAGAAATCAGTGGTTAAGTTGTATTTACAACACTGTTCCAGAACAGTTCAACCCAAATATTCAGATGTGTGCAGCGCATTTTATGGAGGACTGTTTCCTGATCCTGGGAGAGTAGCCTGCAATGCCGGCTGTTCTGACTCAGCCTGTAAGTACGTTTTCATGTTTAAAGAATTTGCCACTGATGATTCAATCGCGAGTTTTGAGCAGTGTAGAGTAGCGCTTGTTGTTTGTTGTTTCTCCGATCACAAATGCAGACATGGTTTTATGTTTACGCGGCGCGATACGCAATGCGTAAAAAGACAGTATAAGTCATTATAATCAGTAATTATGCCCCCACTGGATGCAACAAATGCCTCGTTTGTAATGGGTTTTATTGGTTTTGTCTCGTCGCACCGGGACACGGCATCACAGTATGGTAAGAGGCGTCACATTTCTGTCACACATTTGAGGTATTCGGCCAATCACAATACACTGGATAGCTGGCCAATCACAGCACACCACGCTTTTCAGAACGATGAGCTTTGTAAAAATCGACGCATTTCAGAAAGGCGGGGCAAAAAGTATGTTTTTTTTTTTACCTTAAACTGCATAAACACATTGCATTACACCAAATACACAAAATACTGTTATTTTTAGCAACGTCGTATGACCCCTTTAACTCAGTGAAATGACTGCATTGTCGAAATGGTGGAATAGTGAAATTTGAACTCAGGAGGGAACAACAAACAGGAAATTTCCTAATATTGACTATACACTCATAAAAATACCTAATAAGTAACATTGTGCTACCATTATGTTAATTGTCATTGTACTATTGTATTCTTTGAAATATGTTTGAGTACAAAGTAAACTGGGATGCCTGAAATGATAATCATTTAGTTCTTCTTTCACTTAATAATTCTATATATTTGGTGTAATATAGACAAAAATGTTGGGATGTATCTCACCTGTACTGTATGTTCTTATACTTAGGTGCCAGGTTGAGCAGGTCTGAATCTGAAAATGGCTGAAAAGATCACAGCCAACCAGTCTATTGAGACAAAGTGAGCTAATTCCAGTAGCAAAAGCTTGCTCAAATAATGGTGTTTATGGCTTCCAGTAAAACTAAGGAGGTAGTTTCAGGGTCCAGACGTTGAAGATAGACAGATCTTAACCCACACTCTCCATATGGTGTGAATATACAGCCTTTTCATCCCTTTTCCTCTCAGTGTCTTGTGCCTTTGCCTTGTTTAGATTATGACTTTAAAAAGAGTTCAAATACTTGTCATATTTATCTGCGCTTTGTTATGGAGCAAAAGGTCTCTCTGGATTTATGTGGTTACGGTAATGAGGGAAGTATACATCAGATGTTTTATAAACTGAAAGGCCCATTCACATTGTGCCAACACTGTCCAATGCATTGAACTTTATGAAGTAAGCTATGACTACAGCATTACTCTAGTCATCGTTGTCATTCAGTGCTCAAAGTTCAATCAATTTTTGCCATTTTTGAATTTGTCGAAAGGTCCTAATGTACATGATTTTTGTGATTTTCACATAATTTTGGCAACAAGAAACTGTCAGACATTACGAATACCTTTTTTCTTTGAACAGGTACATTCACACAAATCAGGTACTTAAAAGCTTATCCAATCAAAAGTAAACTAGTAATCTGTTAAGCTAAAGAATTAATCTTAAGTTTAAGAAGAGAAAGCGGACAGATCGAGTCATCAAAGGTTGCTGCAGGACACAGTGATGATACCACAGCAGACGACTCTGATAAAAATGACAGAATGCGGTGTACGGATAGAGGCCAGAGATGGCTGTGATTGGCTGTTGGCTGGACTGCTCTCCTGAGCTGAAGTTTCAGGTTACGATACTTCATTAAGTCTCTGATTAATGGCTTCATAGTGGAGTTATTACCCTCTTGTTGTGGTGACCCCAGCTCATGTTCATTAGCCCAGTAATAAGGCGCTGGTCTGGGGAGCATGTCCCTGACACATGACTATAGGAGAGAGAGAGAAAGAGTTGGTTCAGGGGTCGTCTTGTGGCTCTGATTGAAATAGCCGTGTATTTAAGCATGATGATACCACAGCAGACGACTCTGATAAAAACAGAGGCCTGCGGTGTACGGATAGAGGCCAGAGATGGCTGTGATTGGCTGTTGGCTGGACTGCTCTCCTGAGCTGAAGTTTCAGGTTACGATACTTCATTAAGTCTCTGATTAATGGCTTCATAGTGGAGTTATTACCCTCTTGTTGTGGTGACCCCAGCTCATGTTCATTAGCCCAGTAATAAGGCGCTGGTCTGGGGAGCATGTCCCTGACACATGACTATAGGAGAGAGAGAGAAAGAGTTGGTTCAGGGGTCGTCTTGTGGCTCTGATTGAAATAGCCGTGTATTTAAGCAGCAATGTTCCCCTGTCTCTGTGTTCGTATTCAGAACTGACTTATCATTAATCACAGAACTGAGATCCTTTTCCAGCAGTATGGTAATCAGACTAATCAAGACTTGAGTGAAACTTTTCAACCGCTTAAAAGATACTAATCAATTTATTAACTGAAATGTTGGCTTTTGATGTCCAGTGATTGTATTATTGCAGGTGGTTTAGTGCCTTGAAAGTATCTGCTTTCCATTTTATTTTCTACAATAATACTGTAGTTAAGGATGGGAATCACAAGAAATGTAAAGCTAGTGAATTTTTCCTGACTATTTATTTATTCAGTATTCATAGTCTTTTTTAAATGTGGCATACAGTAAGTGCAAAACAATTATTGGCTTTAACTGTATTAAATAGTACTGAACAAAAAAAATGTGGTAACATTTAATTTATTCTATTGTTTTTATAAAATACCACTGATTAAAGAACTCACAAGTCGTTAGCTGTATGTGTTTGATTCACTAAAAAGAACCAAATGATAAGAGTAATTTATTCGTGAATTAGTTGGAATGCACTGGTTGCACTGTATGGTTTTGATTCACCAAAAAGAACCTGCTCATTTGTTCGCAAATCATTTTGATCACCCTGGGTGTGTTGTATGACTTTGATTCACTATAAAGAACATCCTCAAAAGAGTCATTAATTTGGGAATCCGACTACTCACTTTATGCTGTATGGCTTTGATTCACCAAAAAGAATTGTCTCAAAAGAGTTATTTGTTAGCGAATTGGTTGGATTCGGAAAACCCTGGTTTGCACTGTTTGGTTTTGATTCACTAAAAAAACTGACTCGAGTAATTTGTTTAGGAATCGGACTTCTCACTTCAGACTGCATGGTTTTCATTCAGAAAAGGCTTATGAGAGTCATTCGGGAATCAAACTACATTGATCGCAGAATGAGTACTATATGTTTTACCCTGTAGATTCAATAGCAGTGTTGCAATAGCAATTGCAACAACCAATAATGAAACACAACATCATTCGATTTCTGTATATAAATGAATGGAATCATTTCTGAATAAGAACCGGTTCTTGATATTTATGTAGTATTTCTCTGTCTGGCCACAGTCAATCACACAATCAGTCATATGTATTTCTAAATTTTCCAAATAATCTCCAGTCCAACCATCAAACACTTTTTGTCTTAATGCGTTTAAACTTCAAACCAGATTGGCCTGCGTGTCCTGTGTGTAAATAAACTCGACCTGCCTTTATTTTTACCCCTCCAGCTTAGTTTATTTTGAGTCCTTTTAAAAAAACCACCTCACATATGAGGTTGCTCCCAAACCCTCTTAGAAGCTGTATTTTGTTAGAGGGGGGACGAATGAAAGAAAAGAGAAGCGTATTTTCTTTTTCTGTGGTTTGTTTTCCAGTCACTTTAAAATGAACTCTGGGTGCATGACGAGAAGGCCGCAGATGGTGCGGTGTGCGATGGGAGACAGTCGTAGTTTTTGCTTTACAGATGACTGGAGAGCGCTATGAAAACATGCCTTTTACACTTCTGTCCTGCTGCTGTCACACCACGACGAAAAGGGCAGTTTTGCAAGTAAAACAAAATATCGTTGTCTCCTTGCTTCTCAGTAATTGGACTCCTGAGATAATTGTAAAAGTGCTTAGTAAGGGTGCTACAGAGAATTTGGTGTGAAAATATGTAAGCATGAGGGCACGTTTTATGTAAGTCTCAATAAAAGACAGAGGGAAAGTTCAAGACTAAGGCTGTCATAACAAAAGGCTGCACTTTTCGCTCGTGCACTCTGTTTATGATGCTGTAATATAAAACTGCTGCTTCCACAATCCTTAACATCTTTTGTCCTAAAGATTTAGTTTTGCCATCTCTTTTCCAGTCTCCAGTGGTGTCGGTGGGTTTTGCTCGGTTTCATCCTAACCTGTTGGTGGGTGGCACATACTCAGGGCAGATTGTTCTCTGGGACAACCGAAGTCACCGAAGAACGCCGGTTCAGAGGACCCCCCTGTCCGCTGCAGCACACACAGTAAGAGAACCTACAGATACAGTCATCAATTACACTCCCATCATGAATTCAGTTAAGTGTTTTCAAAGAGTCCTATTCTGTGGAAAACAAAAGGAATTTACCCAAGCCACTCTTTTACATACAATGAAAGTGAACGGTGACTATGACTGTCAAGCATGATTTTCGGGGAGTAGCAACTTAAATCTTAGTCTGTTTCCTACCCAAAGCTCAAAGAGTCATTTCATGTGAAAAAGTTTGCTTAATTGTACTGAATGTTCAGTTGTTGTGTATTTCAAGTCTTAAATGTATATATTTTTTAAAAAGTGTCCTTGCAGATAATTAATTAAATAAAAGGCCTCTTAAGAGTACTTTCATTTTTTAACACACTTAAGTACACTTTTAAAAATTGCACTTAATAATTGTCAAATTAAAGGTTTACTTTAAAGTACATTTTAATACATTTTGTAGTTTGATTTTTTTATAAACATATTAAAGCATGTGTAAAGTACTTGATTATAATTTTATAATCATGTGTTATACAATTTTACAGTTAAATATTTAAATGTAATGTTTTAAATGTACTAAATTGCAGCTTCATCATTACAAATGTCCAATTACAAATACATTTAAATACACGTTTTACTGCTTGACAGTATATACGGCAATGCACTTTTACCAAAAATTATAAGATTACATATAAAGATGTGCTTAAATCTTATTTATAGTAAGTGGATCAAAAAGCACTCTTAAGTTCAACTAATTTCATTTAATATAAATTTACCTTTTTTACATTTTAATTTATTTGCAGCTAATGCTTTTTAGAGTCTAAAAACATTACATTCAGTTCACACTTAACTACATTCTTTTAAAGTATATTATTTACATCATAAATACTCTTTTTTTAAGTATGCTAAATTGTACTACTATATTAAACACTTTTGTGGTACTTTATTTCCATTTACTTTTATTGTATGGAAGAGAGCAGCATAAACATTCTTAAAAAGAACAAAGAAAATCATACAGGTTTGGAACAACATGAGGGTGAGTAAATGATGACAGAATTTTCATTTTGGGTGAACTATCCCTTTAACCGGACAATCACGCTATTACATGATGCTGGTAGCAATCAACCCCTCAACGTTTTCCTGACCTCATCTTCCCTCTGTGCAAAAGGCCGCCCACTGTCTACCCAGGGCTAGACTCAGTCTGTCAGCACAGTCAGGCTCAATGAGCCCCATCTAACTCCTTGTCATGCAATAAAGACAGTACAGCCTAGTAGCAGAGGAAAGGGACGTCCATAGACTCTTATTGTTCTCAGCTGCCACACACATGGCCCCTGAATGCCATACATGCTGAGGGTTTAAACTCCCGTGCCCTCAATAATGAAAGCCTATGTCTCGACTGCCGTCTCACCAGTCCACCGGCCCGTCTGAAAGAGCCCATTGTTGGTCAAAAAACAAAAATCAAATTGTCGACAATAACGACATAATGGATTTACACAGTTGACTGTATTTGCAGACGGGCAGATGCTCAGGCCAGGTTAGTTCACAAGCTAGGTATTGTCTCTATATAGACATTCAGTTCATAGCTTTCATTAAGGGACCATTCATAGATGTTTGCTCTCCATGTATAACACTTTCTTGAATTTCTCATATTTGTCAGACAATTGTAGGTGACATACTGTAAATGTATTTTTCTCAAAGCACCCTGTTTACTGCGTCAATGTGGTCGGCACTCAGAATGCCAACAACCTGATCACGGTGTCCACAGACGGCCGAATGTGCTCCTGGAACCTGGATATGCTGTCACAGCCTCAGGTCAGTGCTGATATTACACCAGCAGCCATCACGTCTGTATAAAAGTCTGCTTGCTCAATCCATGTGTGTCTGTTGTAGGAGAGCATGGAGCTTGTTTATAACAAGTCTAAGCCAGTGGCTGTGACTGGGATGGCCTTCCCCACTGGAGACGTCAATAATTACATTGTTGGCAGTGAGGAGGGAACCGTGTATACAGCATCCAGACATGGCAGGTGAGTGGCACATACTGTACATGCATACATTTGACAGACTGTCCATGATAACCGTTAGACACTTAGAAGTGCTTTGGGTGATCCGATCAGAAGAGGTCAGAGATAAATAAAATATAACCGGGGTCCAAACCATTCAGAGGTAGTCGGAAACGCATGTGGCCATATTTTTTTATCTCATTTGTAGTGATGTCCATCCTGAACTGCCTACTAATATGTCAATCAAAACAAGCATTTTAAACTTTGTTGTTGGCTTCTGATCAAAAAAAGAATGTATTCCTTATTTATAACACATTTTAACTATTTAAAATCAAACCCAAGATCCACTCAGAATCATAAGATGAGGAGATAAAAAAAATTATAAATCTATAAAATTACAAAAAATATATAAATTATGTGACCGAAAAGATAAAACTCAAATACAGATGAGTACATGTATAACTTAAGATCTCAAAAGATCCAATGAAGTCACAACAAGGTCTGACCAAAATTGTATTGTCTTTCCGGTGGAGCCGTGCACTTTATCCATGGGTAATATTTTTTAATGAGCCACGGTAATATTTTTTATGTTTTTGAAAGACCCTTCAGAAATCATGTTAATATTCTGATCTGGTGCTCAAAAAACATTTCTTCTTATTATCAATATGAAAAAAGTTGTGCTGCTTAAAAGTTTTGTGGAAACCAGAGTATGTGGAATATTTTTTCAGGATTCTTTGATGAATATAAAGTACAAAAGGGCAGAAATTTATTAGAAAAAAAATTGTAATTTTGTAAATGTCTTTATACTGTCACTTTTGATCATTTTAATTGAATGTCTTTCAATATTTTATTAAGTATATCAAAACTGTTGTTATTATTGATACCTCTGAGTTGTTTCCTTTTTGTGTTGCTCCACAGTAAAGCTGGCATCTGTGAGATGTTTGAGGGCCATCAGGGGCCAGTGACAGGCATCAGTTGTCACAGTGCTGTGGGTCCTGTCGATTTCTCCCACCTCTTTGTCACCTCTTCTTTTGACTGGACTGTAAAATTGTGGAGTACAAAGGTAAGAAATAATATCCTCTACACCTTTTAAGCATCATCAGAGTACCTCACTCTTCTCTATTGCCTAACCCTAAACACACTGCAAGATGTACTAAATGAATTTATGCATGACTAATAATCAGTTTTAATGAGACTCATGGACTGGAATTAGCCACCATTTAAACATTAACTAGTGCATCATCAATGAATTCATTCAAGAGTCTGAAGTTTTGTAGAACTTCTGTTCATTCAGTGATACTTGAATGTTTAAACATGCAATTATTTACACCTTCCCGTTCTAACAGCAGCAAACATTTTTTTGGTTTGAGGTTTTTCAGAAACCTCATTCAGAACATTCAGAAAGTACAAATAGTGAGTTATAAATTTTTTTAATCCTTGTTTTTGTCTTGTTTTCCAGTAACAAATATCTAAAATAACCCCACTGATGTTGTATTTTTCTTTGTTTTAAGCATATATGTATGTATAAAAAAATACAGTAAAAATTTAAATTACAGTAAAATTCTTATTATCTTAGACAATTTTTGTTTTCAAGTAAATGCATCTTGTGTTAATGTAGGTACATCTTTACTAAAGAGCATTTTAAGCCCTGCTTTGTTAATGAAGACAGCATCTTGGCATTGTCTTGTACATGCAACTAAATCCATTCTGTGTCCAAAGCTTTGAGACCACTGGACAGCGGCTTTTTGCCTTGGAGCTTAATCTGCAAGTTCAGAAATGAATGATTGAGTCTCTTGATTAGGGTTCAAACCACATGGACCAAAGAGATTGAGCAAGAGCTGGTTAGGGTGGGAGACGTATGGACATGGTTGTGCTCACAGATACTGCAATCTGTGTCTGGAGATACTGGCTCAGATCACATTAGCCACAGAGTGAGGGAAGCATGAAGGCCAAGTATGAATAAAAGATGGACGTAGAAGGAATGTTAGGGGAGAAGAGAGAGGCACAAATTTAAAAAAAGCGATGGAAAAGTGGGATAGCTTGAAGAAGAGACATCAATGACACAACCTTGGTAGAAACGGAAAACATAAGTAGTAGTTAAAGGGATGGTTAACCCAAAAATGAAACTGCTGTCTTCATTTTCTTACCCTCATGTTCTTTCAAATCTGTATGACTTTCATTTTTGTGTGGAACACAAAATGGGAAAATTTAAAGAACGTGCTGGTCACTCTTTTCCATAAAATTACAATAAATAGGGACTGAAGCTTTTGGTCCGATTATCTTATCTTGAAAGGTGGTCCGAATATCTTGTTTGTTATGTTTTCAGGTCTTTTGAGGTCATATTGTAGCTGTATATATAATTCAAGTAATTCACAGGCATGAGGATGAAATAAGGATGACAGAATTTACAGTAAAGTTAAACATTATTTGTAGTTAGTATGGTTTATTTTTTAAGAAATCAATTTTATTCAGCAGGGATACAATTAATTGATCAAAAGTGACGGTAAAGACAATTATAATGTTAAAAAATATATTTAAATTTTACAAATAAATGCTGCTTTTTAAAATGTATTACATTTTTAAATATATTACAATACAAAACATTATTTTAAATTGTAATATTTCACAATATTACTGTTTTTTTAACTATATTTTTCATAAAATTAAATGCCACTTAGGTAAGCATACAAGAATTCTTTCAAAAGAAAAAACCGTCAGTAGTGTACATTTTTATGAGAACTGTCCCTTTAAAGTGCCCCTATTATGCCATTTTTAAGGTCCCTAATAATGTTTTGGGAGTCTCCTACAATAGGTTTACATGCATGCAAGGTCAAACAAACGCATTGGTTTTCTCAAAATATGCATTTAATATTGCCTCATTTTCCAACAGAAAGCAGTTTGAAGCAGTTCTAAGATTCAATCTCTCTAAACCCTTCCTTTCAGTGGCAGTTCTAGACCACAGTAACTGGGGGGCCAGGCAGGGGCCACTTGCGCGTTTAGGGGGCACACTTTTAAAATTCATTTGAACCTACTTTCAGTATTATTCATTCAGTCATTTTTCACCATGTCATGTATCACTGCAATCTGTAGAAGTAAGCTATAACAATTGAAACTCAAATGAATGTTTCATTTAGGTTTTCATTTATCTGACATTTATCTTATTTTGTATTGTAGTGTAGGGCGTCATTGTGGGGGCACGAGTGAAGAGGAGGGGGGGAGGCCTCGTCATGCTTGTCATGTGACACACAGCAGCCAAGATAGCACTGTATAACTGATATAGGTTTATGTTTTTTTTTTTTCTTTTTATTTGAAATATTCTCAAATGTGTTAACTATATCATGAAATATCTCGATTCTCAAATATGTGTAAGTAAATGCATTTTGCACCTTTATAAATTATGTTAGTTGATCTATAGGTTAATGGACGATGGGCAAAGTAGCCTAATAGTGTAATCTATTAACTATGCATAAAAACCTGTCTTTTTACTTAAATACCAGATATGGGTGTCATACCATAAAATATTTTTAATACGACTGACTTTGTATTTAAAGTGAATTTAATAAAAACATTGCATGTTACTAATTATAACACTTTCATGGTACAGAAAGAGAGGAAAGAACATTTACATTAGGGCTGGGTAAAAAATATTGACATCTCGATATTAATCAATTCTCATTTTTACGGAATCGATTAGTCTAGCCTGTTTTCAGTTAAAGGGGTCATATGATGCGATTTCAAGTTTTCCTTTCTCTTTGGAGTGTTACAAGCTGATTGTGCATAGATAAGATCCCTGAAGTTGCAAAGACTAAAGTCTCAAAACCAAAGAGATATTCTTTATCAAAGTTAAGACTCTGCCATAATACACAAAATAATGATCTTTAAAAAAGCATCATATGACCCCTTTAATGGACGGAACATTGAAGGGCACTTCACATCCAATATATCGCAATAAGCATTGTGCTTTGGTAATTTTAATGTGAAACAAAGTCTCAGATTTCTAATTCTGTCCATCGTATTGCAGTATTCAAACAATAAATGCTGTTTTGGCGCTGTTTAATGTGGAGTGACAGATCGCTGTAGCGCCTCAGTTCAACAGACGCAGCAGCGCGAGGCGCACGTGAACTAATCATCTCCTCCACATTAATACCAGTTTCAGCACAAAATAAACATGACTAAACATCCGAAGGTAAGTTAAAAGAAAGAGTACAACTTTACAATCTGTATCCTGTCTCATGTAATCGCTCAATCAGTGTTTCAGCCGCGCAAAGACGTCAATATAATGTCTTGTAAACAATGTCACGTAATGTCACATTTACCTCAGAAAAACATATTCGGTGACCATAAACTCATTAGTCAGATAGAAAAATAAACTGTAGAGAGGGGCATTTTGCTAAATATATGCACCAAATAACATATTCATTATAAAATTTAACTGTTCTTCAATGTTTAATTTATGTATGAATAAATCCATCAAGTTTTTATGACAGCCACCATTATGTTTATATAAAAAAACGAATTGAAGTAGAAATATTATGTAATTCTAACTTTATTATTTTAAAAACTTCATTAAGTGTAATTTTAACAAATCAGTCAATTTTAACCTTCAATATTATAGTAATGTAGTACCAACTGACTCTCATGTATATTTTACAGCATTAGTTTGAAAATTTGGCATGTAGCCTACTGTACCTGATATTGGATATTGAATCGAATCGAATTGGTAATCGAATCGAAAGCTTGTGAATGAGAATCGAATCGAATCTTGAAATTTGTGTCAAAACCCAGCCCTAATTTACAGTATCAAAAACATTATCACTGACTTCAGTCTAGCCAGAGTTCAAGCTCTCAAAACTCCCATTATAATCACTGAAACTGTTTACACTGTGAAATGAATATCTTACATTCGTATGCACATCTACACTTTGTTGTTTCTCATAAGAAAATTCACCAGAGAGCAGAATATAGTCAGCGAGCGCACGCACTGAACAAAACACCTGCGTTTCAGCGATGACTCATCTGAACGCCTCTGATTGGTCATTGCATTCATAAGCTCAACAGAATCGTGTGCAATTGGTTATAATGCGCAGCGCTGTAAAAAAACGTGTCTGGCTCTGTGCCAGTCAGTCAATGCAGATTTGAATTGAGCAGCTGGTGATGTTTAACTTTTTTCCATTACTGCCACCCACAGGACAAACTGTGCATTGCACCCAAAATTTAGGGGGGCCAGGGGGGGTTGTTGACAACATAGAAAATATAAACATCTATTGATATAAACATATAGGTTGTGATTCAGTGGAGCCAGCTGGTCCAAATAAACTGGATACTGAGCCATCTTTCAAGAGTAAGCGTTTTGTGAATCCTGCATTGAACTCCCCCGAGATTAGAGAAGCAGTCATCAGTAAAATGATGGGAGCACAAAACCATTGGGGTTGTACTGCTGTGGTACAGTGGGAAAAAAAATAAATTTAACCACTGATCCTTTGCAGCCTAATCTTTTAGAATTTAAAATAAAAGTATATACATTCACAGTGTAGGACAAAGCGTCTTCTCGACATGATGTTAACCAAACGAACAAGCTACACTGTTTGAGGGCGGGGTCAAGTTGTTTGCGCCCGGCCAACGTAGAACACGTAGAACATTATGCAAATGTGTTACCCTGTGACGTGTAGTTGTCACAGAAGTGGGATTTGAATTACTGACGACTCGTTTAGGCTGTTCAGAGTCGATTCTTTATTTTGGGAGACGATAACTTTATTTATCGTGCACTTTTAGCTTTACAACTTTGCAGATTGTTTACATTCACATACAGCTACTTTACACACTGCATGAAAGGCAATATTCGAAATGGCATAATATAGGGGTACTTTAAAACGAGTTAACAAAGAGTTAAAAAGCAGAAGAGAGCCAAATAATCTGAAGTAGATGGTGGACACGGGTCATTTAGCAAGGAAGTGGCACATCTACTACCTCAGGCCCTGCGATGGATAATACAGCTGAGCTACATTAATGAAAGCTACAGTATATGTATCATGTTCTCACAGTCATCGCTATCTGTGTGCACAAGCCTACGTAAAGTCCTGAGAAACCACAACATACCGTCCTGTCACTTTAAGTTGGGCTCAATGCATTTTCTGTACAAATCTTAGACTTTGTGCATTCTGACAGATATTAAAACATTCCTGGGATGTTATGGATGTGCATGTGTTATTTTTTGGGGACGGGGGAATTCCTTCCCTTTGAGGAGAGCCGCAGGAATGCAGGCCTGTCTCTTTCTCCTCTGTGTGGTTGTACCTTAGCTTGGAACTAAGCACGCTGTGAGCCTCCACACATTATCACTCACATGCAATAATATGAATTTCAAATGACACCTGGCTTGCTATTTTTAGACATTAATATTTTAGTTTAGTCATTTTATGTTATAAAAATTTATTATTTAATTATTCATTAGGTATAGCGCTGCCTCCATTTTTCTGTTTGTAGTATAACCAAGGCACTGCTGACAGATAATTTTGTTCCCTTTATTGGTGTCCTATAAAACACGAAAAGGAAAAACCAGTGTATGTTTCCCGTCAATGCCTGGTCGCTGCTCAGAAAACCCTCCTTGTGCCCTAATTTGCCTCCTTAAGTGCCTGTGGTGAGTCCTTGATGACTCTGCATCTCAGTCCTCGTCCTCGGGTCTGTGATGGTGGTGGTGACATGTATAAGCACCGTTTACTGTAGGTACATAAACAAGTACATGAGCTACTGGAGAATGAATACATACATATACTAAATCCCATCACTAGATCTCTGCAGAGGCATCAGAGAGGTTATGGAATGAATGCGAGGTCTGCTGCTCCGTGTGCTGAGGAGTATGCACATCACGCTCTGTTAGAAGGGAAAAAATGGCCTGCAAACTGATCTGTAGTCCTCAGGGAGAGCAGAATCAGCACTGGCGCCTTCAGGATTTGGATTTATGGCTGTGGATCCTGTGGATCAGATCAACTGATGAGCATAGTTAAAGTTCTAATTAGACCTGTACTGGTTTGATCATAACATGACAAAATAACTAAATTACCATAGTGGCACATACAGTAGCATGCTGAATGTGAAATGTAAACCACCATTCATTTTATACTGGTGGGTTTTTCATGGATTTTTCTCATGCACACACACACACACACACACACACACACACACACAAACATATATATATATATATTTATGTACTTGGTTCAAAGACGAACATTTTTACCTTGATTTACAGAAGACACCCACTAAAATGTCATTCAGTGTAACAATAGTTAATCTACCAAAATATTTTGTCAGGCATATTTAGAACCAGAATCATTAGATGTAATTAAAAGACTTCCAAAAAGTTAATAATTGTCATTTTAAATCTTTACCAATCTTTGACACTATCCTTCAAACCACTATATATTTTAGGCATTTTTCAGTTTTTTTTTAAATTTAGTATGATCACTTATTCTTTTATATATTTTAATAAGTATGGGTCAGAATGAGAATAAGAATGTTGTTTAATTTTTACGTAAATATACCTGTTACTCTGTATGACAATGGAATATTATTTCGCCCATATTTTGACATTTTATTATTTATCACAAAAGTTATTTGAAACATTAAAGTAGACACTTTACTTCCATTTAATATGCTTTCTATGTATATAAAATCACTTTTGCAAATGTAATTTGATGCAGACACCAAAATGGGATGTCTCTTTGACCCATATATTTTTGTTACAGTAATTCACACTACTCTTCAAAAGTTTGGAGTCAGTAAGATTTTTTAAATGTTTTTGAAAGAAGTCTCTTATGCTTCACTTATGCATCTTTTAATACAGTAAAAGGAATAATATTGTGAACTATTATTACGATTTAAAATAGCTGTTTTCTGTTTTAATATATTTTAAAATTCATTTTCTTAATCCAGTCCTCAGTGTCACATGATCTTTCAGAAATCATTATTAGGTGCTCAATAAACTTCATAATCTTATTGTTTTCAATGCTGAAAACTGCTTACTGTATTTGTGGAAACATTTTCCATAAATAGGAAGTTCTAAAGAACAGCATTTATTTAAAAGCGTAATCTTTTGTAACAATATAAATGTCTTTACTGTGACTTTGATGCATGCTTAAATAAAAGTATTACTTTCCTTCAAATACATTTTTACTGACTTCAAAATTGAACGGTAGTGTTTATTTAAATAGTCGGTTTATTCATTCGTTGTTTGTTTAATGTTTGATATTGGATCTTTTTATTTTTTTATGATTGGACCATCTCAGATTATGTTACAATAATAAGTAATACAATAATAAAAAACTAAAGTGATTTAAGATGAAGTCTGCACACTGTGTGGCGTGTTTGTCTCTGTGTGGTTGATTAGCGTGCTGTGGTCTGCATTGCTCTCCGCCCAGCTGTCTCTCTCTGTACCTGTGCGGATCTCTCGCTCTACCTCACCATACCTCTCTCTCTCTCTCTCTTGTTTTCTTTCCTTTTATTCTCTTTTCTTCTATGCCCCAGACAGCTGTTACACTTAGGCTACAGTACACCTTGGGGAGACTTTCATCTAGTGTTTTTTTTTATGACACTGCTTGAATGTGCAAAGGTTTTAATTAGCTCAATCCCAGACAGGCCCCAGGGCTGCAGCAGCGCCACTCTGTCTACTGCCTATGCCACTCTCTCACTCTCTCTCCATCTTCACCCGCTCTCTCGCCCTCTGCCTGTCCCCTTACAACCCCAGCACCTTCTGGCTTGTCCTGCTTGCCCTTTCATTCTATCTTTCTCTTTATATTTCACCTCCTTTTTCTCATTTTGTGTCCCCCTCAGCAAAACAAGCCGCTGTACTCCTTTGAGGATAATGCAGACTACGTCTACGATGTGATGTGGTCTCCCGTGCACCCCTCGCTCTTCGCCGCCGTGGACGGCATGGGTCGTCTGGATCTGTGGAACTTGAACAACGACACTGAGGTGAGGTAACGCTTTCGGTCTGGTCCCCCAGATCACGCCAGGCCAAAGATGCATCAAAACAACAACAAGTTCCTTTCTGTGTGGGCGTCTTCCCACAGGCTGCCCTTAAATCAGCTTTCTGACAGCTCCACACCAACAGCTCACACAACACTCCAGCGGCGTTCCTTTCCACAGACGCACACACACATAGTCTGCAAGCTTATGGCTAATTACTCCGATGTGTGCGGATTCCTCTCTCTCCACCATTCCAGAGTCAGTGAGTTCCCATGGGCTGCAGCCCAGCACAGCGGTTTAACCTGGTCTTCTAAAGCCACTGTCTTTCAAGACCTTCAGGGACTTAGGGACAATCACAGCTTTACTTATTATATAGGGCTGTGGTATACTGCAAAAAATATTTTAAATATTCTTCTAAACATTCATAAAACAAGACACATTTACTTGGGAAGCAAAATTGTTTAAGAAAATAAGACTTGTCTTCTATCAATATATATGTATAATTTTAAATATAATTTTATATTTTGTATATTTGTATAATTTTATACAATTCAATTATATGTACCATTTTTATTAGTTTTAATTTAATTAAGATTATTTTTCTCACTTCACTGGAAATAAGAATAACTTGTTTTAAACATTAACCTCATAAAATGTTGTTAGATGTTTACTTTAATATACAATTTTTTTATTGTAAAAAAAATCTATAAAAACATAAATATATGAAAATAAAATTATATTAAAAATATATAATAATCAACTAATATTCAAGATACATCCTCTGAGAACAAAATATTATTTGCCATAACTAAAAAAAATTTTTTTTCATATTGTTTTAACCATTAATCTCATTAAATTTAATGTTAGATTTGTAGTTTAATATACAGATTTTATATATTTTGATTATAAAATGTAAAATACTTCAATAAAAACAGTACATTTATGAAAATAAAATAAACAAGTATTCAAGATTTATTCTCTAAAAACAAAACAAAAAAATAATAATTTGCCATTACTCCACTGGAATTTTTAAATCTTGTTTACCTCCATTTGAAATTTAATATACAATTATTTTGATTTTAAAAATAAAGTAATTCAATAAAAACTATATAAATATATGAAAATTAAATTATATTAAATAAATATAATATATATATAATCTAATATATAAATTATATTAAATATATAATATATTATTCAAGATATATTCTCTAAAAAAAAAAAAAATTGCCATTCAATTAAGAAAAAAAAAACATTTGGATTATAAAAAATGAATAGAATTATTAAAAATTATAAGTACAAAATAATTCAATATAAACCTCTGAAAAAAAGTCTTAATATCTAAAGCAGTTGTGCTCAATGATGTTTTTAAGGATGTTTAGATTTTTTTCAATCCTGATTCAACTGATTTTTGCAGTGTATTGGCATGCAGACTTTGTAGAACGGTGAGGTCATATTAACTGTCATGTACTGGATCTAATAGCGCATGTCACTGGTAATGGAGTGTCATCGTACATCACATGCTATGATGTTGTTTCATGTGACAGTTGACTTAGTGCTACATGGACCATTCACACAATACGTCAGTCTGTAATGGTGTACATGCCTCACCACAGCGCAGAGTCCAGCGAGAGCTGTTGCGTGTGACGTCTCTCCTGTGTGAGATGAGATCTGCTCTGACTGACACTGCCTGTCCACTAAGGAATACATACCCACTTTAATTACATACTGCTCTGAGATCTGCTGTTCTTGACTCTATAGCCATCTCTCTTTAACCATACGCTGTTTGTTTGGTGGAAGGTAACCAATAAACAGCTCACTGATTGTACTCACATGTACTAAAGTCAAATTGAAATCAAAACTGACCCTATTTACCTTCTAACATACGGTTCTGGTCTGACTGAATGATTCCTGGAAAATAATGTTTGTTAACGTAATCATTCATTATATATATATATATATATATATATGTATATATACACAGTGTATAGAATATATATATATTAACCAAGCCCTCTTATTTTTTGATAAATTGACCACATTTAAAGATCCTATCTCATTAGATAAAACCAATCCCATCCTATTATTAGTTTCAATATCCTGTTTAACTCAAGTGAAATAGTAAAAACCAAAAGTAAAATGCAGACACCATGTCTTGTTGTTTTAAAGACTGGGGACACAATGTGAGCTGAATTTAAACCCACATCTGCCACTTGAGCACCATGTGCTTTATGCTAACCACTAGGGCACAGTACATAGGGTACTTTGATACAGTATATACTATGGTAATAATTGATTACCATATAAGTATAGGGATGCACCAATATTAAAATTCTGTCTGATAATCCATTAATAATTTTAATATTCTGACTGATAACTAATAAATTAATGATACTAAAAAAACTCCATACTATTTTGTCAAAATAAATTATAAATAAACAATACAATACAAATAAAAACAAAAATGAGTTATATGCAATGCTTCAAGTAAATTTAGGCATCACAATATTATAATGTTCAGTATGAAAAATGCATTATTTTTTTTAGATTTGCTAAAGATTCTATTTAACACTGTTAATAAACTATTAGTGTTTTTAAAGATTAACTTTAGGTGAGCGTGTGCAATTAATTTCAAAGATGGGGTCAATATTATTGAATATTACATTAAAGTATTACAAATATTAGCAAATATTTGATATTTACTCTAATATCGGCCTTTGTTTTTGTCCATTCAGCTCATAATCGAGGGTACCAATATATTGTCCATTCATATTTGTATAACATGGTATTTACATGGTACTCTACACTCAACATTTTTTTAAGTTATTAAGACAATTTCATTCAAGTTACTACAACTTTTTAATATTTAAAAAATCTATTCAAATCAATTTAATTAAAAAATCAATTAAAGAAAAAATTGTATGATCAACATTGTCAGCAGAAGTCATCAAAATAATGTTTGCAATTTAAAAGGTGTGTGTGTGTGTGTGTGTGTGTGTGTGTCCTCTCAAGAACAATGCGCATTATCCAAAACATCAGGAGCCAACAGTGCCACGGCAACGCGCATGCTGACATACACAACGACACATGCATAAACAGGCAAAGATCTTGTGCCAGAAAGCAGCCAACAGTTCTCCATTGTCAACTTATAAAGAAATTCACCCATAACACCATTAACAGACTGCGGGTTTGCCTGGTTCCAATTTACGCAAAGAGAAGCTTGCAGCCAATTTAACCTTGCAGTTGACTCTTGGAGGAAGCTGCTTGCTAATAGCTCTCAGGCTGTGGTTAGCCTGTTCTGAAGCGAGGAAGCTTTTGTATTAGCCATTGTCCATTCAGCTCATAATCGAGGGTACCAATATATTGTCCATTCATATTTGTATAACATGGTATTTACATGGTACTCTACACTCAACATTTTTTTAAGTTATTAAGACAATTTCATTCAAGTTACTACAACTTTTTAATATTTAAAAAATCTATTCAAATCAATTTAATTAAAAAATCAATTAAAGAAAAAATTGTATGATCAACATTGTCAGCAGAAGTCATCAAAATAATGTTTGCAATTTAAAAGGTGTGTGTGTGTGTGTGTGTGTGTGTGTGTGTGTCCTCTCAAGAACAATGCGCATTATCCAAAACATCAGGAGCCAACAGTGCCACGGCAACGCGCATGCTGACACACACAACGACACATGCATAAACAGGCAAAGATCTTGTGCCAGAAAGCAGCCAACAGTTCTCCATTGTCAACTTATAAAGAAATTCACCCATAACACCATTAACAGACTGCGGGTTTGCCTGGTTCCAATTTACGCAAAGAGAAGCTTGCAGCCAATTTAACCTTGCAGTTGACTCTTGGAGGAAGCTGCTTGCTAATAGCTCTCAGGCTGTGGTTAGCCTGTTCTGAAGCGAGGAAGCTTTTGTATTAGCCAGCGTACAGCTTCCATCTTTGCTGACAACATATGTCAGGCCAGTCTTAACTGTCATAAGTAATAGGCAGAAGTCAACTTCACACACGTGCACAAACAGAGCCCGTGTATCGCTTTAATGTGTGCAGAGCAACTTTTCATGATGATTTATGAAATCATTAAAAGCGCCCGTAGGTTATTTCCAGTAGAGCTGTGGATTCATGTCTTCTTCCTATTAGAGCTCAGCTTTGACTAGGCATCCTAACAACGTCATTTTATCACAAGGGCTCTGTATGTTTACATTATATGAGTTATAGGCTAATATCCAAAAACTGAGGACACATTTTCTGTAGTGAGATTCGCCAGATTCCAAATCCTCTTTGTTATAATTTATTGTATTTTTCTATATTTCTATATTCTAGCATGAATTTGAGATTGATGGTTGATATTTTATACATTTTAAAGGTGAGCACACTAGGGCTATACGATCCACATTCATTTTATAATTCAACATTTGTCTCATTTGTGTTTATATTTCTTCTAATTAATATTTGAAGAAATATGGAGTTAGCAACATGACAAAAAGTTGATCAAAAGTTATATATATATTATATAGAAATATATATAATATATATACAGTATATATTAAAATATTTAGCAGCACATTTGTTTTAAACGTTGATGATAATAATAATAATAATAATAATACATGCTAATCAGCATATTAGAATGATTTCTAAGTGATCTCGTGACACTGAAGACTGGGGTAATGACTGCTGAAAATTCAGATTTGCCATCACATAAATTAATTACGTTTTAAATCAATTAAAATAGAAAACAGTTATTTTAAATTGCAATGATATTTCACAATTTATTTTATTTATGTTTCATCAAATAAATGCAGACTTGGTGAGCATCGGAGATTTATATCAAAAACATTTAAAATTCTTAGTGTATATGCTGGTATATATTTCACCGTGAAAGAGACTTCATTCAAAAACATTCAAAAAATCTTGCCGACCCCAAACTTGTAATGTGAGTAATTCACATATTGTGTGTTTGATATGTTTGATATATGATTAGAGGTGTGTTTTGTGTCCAGGTGCCCACCGCTAGTGTCACCATAGAGGGAGCCCCCGCTCTGAACCGCGTCAGATGGGCCGCAGGGGGCAAAGAGGTCGCCGTGGGAGACTCAGAGGGACGTGTGTGGATCTACGACGTTGGAGAGGTATGAATCTTTTGTCACTAATACGTATCGTAATGTGCAAAATAACTGTATATTATTCTTCTCTCAAGATTATTTTTTCAGCCGTATGGCTGCTTTATGAACACAATCAACCCAGTACGGCCTCGATGCAGAATGAAAGTGGAAGTAAAATTGAATCTCTCTGAGTTTGACATAAAGGGTTTGCATGTTTACCAAGCTCCGCGTGGCTAGTTTGTTTTTGTTCGAAACTTACTTCCTTATTTTAAGACAGTCTCCACATGACTAAACCACCGCCAAAGAGTGGCAAACCACAAGGACTCCCATGCTCACCATGTTCTTTTCGGTCTCCGGGTTTCGCCTCATGTGTGGGGCAGTGCTAATCTTAGCGCAGTGTATTGTGGTAATTGGAGAGTACGTCGGTCGAGCATGTGGGCTTCTTGGGCTGATGATAATGGAGGGTCATCAATAAAATGAAGTGAAGGAAAGGAAAGTTGAAGGGTTTAGGTGGAATGTGGCTTATTTACAAAAGACTTCGACATGAAGCACTCAACATGGCCTCTATCAGCAGAGGCAGTCACCAACCTCCAGTCGCGGCAAGAAGTACCACTTCTGATGACTGCCAAGGTCCCTTTGTGTTATATTTAGTAGACTGTGTTAAATATTTGCTTTGGAACACCACAGCATGTTTTCGCTATGCTTGAGTCATATTGCATAAATTTCAGATGTCATTTTGGGTGTTTTACAGTTGAAGTTAAATAGATTTTATTCTTCAACCGCGGGACACCCCCTGGATGAGAGTTTTTTTAAGGCTAGAATTATAATCTATGATGTACTAAAGCTAAAGATTCTCTTTAAACTCTTGCTTTGCTGCTGTATAATTCTAGTTGACCATAGAAGAAGACAATTTATGCAAATATCTGCTCTACTGCCCCTTGTGGCAACGCAAAGAATGCAACACGTATTAGTCTTCCATTATGAATTTCAGAATTTCATGAAGTTCAGACAGTCCAGTGTTTGTGTTCATGTTCTTGCCTGACACTATTACTGCAGTTCATACAAACCATGATTTTCTGTACACCCCTTCTATGACCAGCATGAATTTGATTTAAAATTAATTTTGGTATTTTTTTTTAAGAAGCAAGGTTAAACATCTCATTAAATCTTATAAAAAATGTTAAAACATATTTTATTATTTTCTAGAAAACATATTTTAACTGCTTCACTTATGAATATCTAAATAAATTATGTCTGCAAAAGGATGTGATCAACCAACCTGCAGAAAAAAAGAGAGAACCCATCAGACCATAATGTTAAGTTCAATAAAATAGCAGATATTTTTATGACAAGGCTAGTTTTTTTGTTTGTTTGCAAAATGTTATTTTGCAAATCCCTAAAAATTTGAATTATGATATCTTGAAAAATATATTTAAAATATTTGATTAAGATGTAAAGGCACAAAATTGCAATAATTTTACTCAATTATATGTACTTCATGACATTTTTAGATTTATTAAATGTAAACATTTCTTTAAAAAATGGTATAAAACTATAAAAAAAAAACATAAACATTAAACATTTTATATATATATATATATATATATATATATATATATATATATACACACTGCGATTTCATCTCTATATTCTGTATACTATACATAAGTAATTTTGTATATGTACCACATGCTTCTTTTAATGCACCACATCAGTTTAGGCATACATACATATACATATAGTAATCTTACCGTGAATTGGAAAGAAAAAAAAAAAACCTTGACACAGAAGCTAGAATAGGTGTGGTATGTGTTGGGTATGTGTCATTATTACATTATTATTATTACGATTGTTATTACATTATTATTATTATTATTATTATCATTACTTTTATTATTATTGATATTACTGTTGCCGTCATCACAAGGTATTATTATCATCACCATCTTTAGTATTATTATTATTATTATGCATGCTAGTACTACTACTATTATTGTCAGATGGTCATCACTGTTTATTTTCATTGCTGTTATTATCATTGCTGTTCTATTGCTGTTTTTGTGTTTTGTGTTCACTGTAATTGTTTTGCATTCTTAATAAAAATTTGTATGTGTACAGTAATATATATATATATAAAATCAGTATGTGTTATGTACAGTATACATACTGATTATATATTTGTGTACACACACACACACACACACACACACACACACATACAGTGGGTACGGAAAGTATTCAGACCCCCTTAAACCTTTCACTCTTTGTTATATTGCAGCCATTTGCTAAAATCATTTAAGTTATTTTTTTTCCTCATTAATGTACACACAGCACCCCATATTGACAGAAAAACACAGAATTGTTGACAGAGTGAAAAATTTAAGGGGGTCTGAATACTTTCCGTACCCACTGTATATATACTATACATATACATAAATAATTATGTATAGTATACAGAATATAGTGATGAGATCCCAGTGTTATAAGGTCATTTATTGATGAAGGCCTCTTAAGACCCCCCTGCTGTACTATAAAAGAGCTTGATTTGGTCTTGGGTTTGGAAGTGGCTGTCATCTCCTCCCACCTCTCTATTCCTGTTTAATTATACCCTGTAGATCTCTCTCTATCTCTCTCTCTCTTCCTCAGCCTGGGCGGCAGGCAGCCGTCCTTTCTCATCTAAATCTGACTCTGACAGCAGAAAGCGATCCCACATCGTCACCCAGCCGGCCCATAGTCCCCATCTTCCCCTTTCTGAGAACTGACACGATAAATATTCAGCACTCAAAGGCCAAACAAGCAGCTTTATTGTTCTGTCTCTGAATCACAATGTGTGGTGATCTCTTTCCTCTCCCACACTGTGACAGCACATGTAATGCGTAGCTTTTGCTCTTGATGTGGCATTTTGGAGGAGTGGGGGGTGTTTTTGGCACTAGATTTCTAAAACGCTCATTTGTTGCAGCTGGCTGTGCCCCACAGTGAGGACTGGGCCCACTTCGGCCACACGCTGATGGAGATCCGTGCCAACCACGGGGACGGTGAGGAGGAGGGGCCTGTGGAGCTGGCCACGTAAACACCGGATCAGAGTCATCACCAACCCAGACTGAGCCTGATGTAACACACCCAATTAGCATGTCCACTAGTACTGTGCTGTTTACTCCAATAAAAGGGACCGTTTATCCAAATAATGAAATATTACTAGTAACAATAATATTATTGCATGATTTTTTCCTTCAAACCAGTTAAGTGCAAATCCTACCCCACAGCGATTCCATTGATCAACTCAATCATGCAGTCACCAGTCAAGAAAAGTTCAGAAATATCTTCAGTGGATCAAATCGATACAAACAGTAGGCCTAATGCTATCAGGATGTGCTACCAAGTTATACTGAGCTTAGGGTTTAGGTTGAGGTCAAAGGTTAGTATTTGATTTAATGTTGTGCAGGCAGTCTGAACCGTGATTTACATGACCAATATGGTCTTTCGAATCAGCTACGCGGTGGGATTTTGTGCATAACTGGTGAAGGGGGGGAAAAATCATGAATAAATATTGATTTTTCTGATTATTTGCTGACAATTCCTGAAATCCCAAGATTAATCTTTTACTCTGGCTGTCTGAAATCACATACTCTCTAAATAGTTAAGCCTACTTTAAGTAATTAGAGGCTGTTTAAAAAGTATGTTCGGGAAAGTATGGATGTGTGTAGTATGAACTTTATCAAGACATACTACATTCGTTGTCATTGTCATGTGACCTGCTGGTCTCTGAGATAGTAAAGTGTCCATTGTGCACACTTCAGAATCTCACTGAAAGTAGGGAACTTTTTTCTCCTACTGTGAATTCGGGCATACTACTTTTTTAACATAGTGTTTTTCGCTATATAGTAAGGAAGTAGTTTATGTGATTTCGGATGCCAGCGTGACAATGTATTTGCGCTATCCGTCCTGTACATGTCGCTAAACCAATTTACCTAAAAGCACAGTTTGGGCCATGTTATTATTTTTTTTATTTATATTTTTCGTAATGTGCAGGCTAATGTACAAAGTTACAAGGTTCTCTGTATCACTTGTTTTTTGCATCGCTTTCCAGCAGCTGAGTCTTCAGTGCCACGGCAAAGGAAATCTGAATATGAGTTTGTTGTCTAGAGCAGTGGTTCCCAACCCTGGTCCTGGAGGCACCCCAACACTGCACATGTTGCATGTCTCCTTTCTCTGACACGCCAGTTTCAGGTCTTGGAGTCTCTACTAATGAGCTGATGACCTGAATCAGGTGTGTTTGATTAAGGAGACATACAAAATGTGCAGTGTTGGGGTGCCTCCAGGACCAGGGTTGGGAACCACTGGTCTAGATGACTGTACAGCAAATGAATAAGAAACGTCTTTCTACTGAGTTGTGTTTGCGGAATGCATGTAAAACAAGCATACACGACCAATGTTGTCTGAATCACGAAATTACATTTATAAGCTTGATGTTTTAATGATTCAGAAGTGCGACTGGTAAAGACCGATTACCGAAAAGAATGACTTGAATGAGCCCGTTCATTAATTACATAATTTACAGGATTAGTAAAGAGTGTGTATCATATATCAGCTAAATAGACGTTGTAACTGGGTTACTCACCACTGTCGTTCCATAATGAACGTGAATAATGAACACATTCTTTTTATGGGAAAGAGCTGCTTATTTTGTCCTACACAAAGTCAAACATGTTTGGAATGACATGAAAGGTAATTTTCATATTTAGGTGAACTATCTCTTTAATGTTGTACTCATGGGTTTGTTACTAAGCATTTGAAATTAGGTTTCATTTCCGTGAGCTATTTGTCGTGCAAGAGTTCATTGGATTTTTACTTTACGTCTCGTTACCTTGATGGCAATTCATGTTAAAATCAGTCAATAACATTTCTGAAATGTGAATTAGAAATAACCTCATGTTAGAAAGGCATCTTCGATGTTGGTTTGTGGTCATTTTTAGTATACTTGATTATTGTGTGTGTGTGTGTATATTTTTGTACTGAGCCCCTGCATGAAGCATTGACAAATTAAGTTATATATAAGTTGGTGACAGTGTCAACAATATTCACAGTGGCTTTCTCATCAGTGTTACAGCGATGCAAGCAGGTATTGAGTGTATACTAAAAGATGTTTCACATGTTAGAAATGATGTTACTGATAACCATAACTGTGTGGCTAAATGAAACAAGTGTTGGCAAATAAAATATGCTTCTAGCAACCATTTTTGTTTGATCTCCTTTAATAAATCTGTCCATCAGTGCATCTATTGCTGCCATACTTACAGTAAGGCACAATGTTTACACACTATATGTACAATCAACTCTACTGTACAGCTCAATTTAGTCCACATCATTTTTAAGGGGTTGAGAAATACAATACCCAGACTGACAAACATTATGTGTAAAAACCTTACTAAGTCTCTCATTTCACATTGACCATAAATTGCCACTGCGTGTAGATTCCCAACACACAAATGTAACACTATACAAACATAAATATGAAATACTATAATACATTCAAATATGAAAGTACACATCATTAATGAAATGAACTGCCCAATGTGTGCTATGTGCTTAGTGTTATGGTAAAAGGAGGAGAAACGAAAATGTAAACAGTTGCACATCTATCATTTAAACAATACAACATGGTCATTTCCAACTGGATATGCTTGTACGGTTTTAAAACCCTGCAATATGCATCAACAAACATGTTCATTAAATAAATAAACTGTAGTATATCTAACTGACCATTTGAATTGACTGGTTTGAACATAGCCATTTAGCTGGTTTGCAACAGTTTGCTAAAGGTAATTTTTTTCTTCAGGTAAATAAAAAATATAATAAAACAACTGAAAAGATCAAATAAATTTTTTTTTGTTTGTTTTACATTTCAATTAAATCAAAGTCACACTACAATCCCACTGAAGAATCCAAGACTTTGTGGTAGATTTAAAAAATATTAAACATCATCCCATCTAATGTTGTACTTAAAAGTTGTCATTTGCACTAACAATCTCATAAAACATTATTTCCAGTTCATCTGCTGAAGGTTTTATGTTCTCAACAAGAAGGAAGAGATTCATATGTGTGTTTGTTCGAGTGCTGATGAAGTGGATGCGTTTGCTTCAAACGTGTGAGGCGGCAGGCGCTCGGAATCGTGGTAGATGCAGTCCAAATTTACTCTCGATGCCAGCAAACGTGGCCACAGCCAACCTGAAGCCACCGATGTGGTCAGGATTGGGCGCCGGGAGGCTGATCCGAGACTTGGGAGTAGGCTCTGCGCCAGCTGGTTTTCTGTGGTGAGGAGAGAGGGAGAAAGATGGATGAGGAAACTTCACATTCTGCTTGCTGTGTCCTGTCAGAAAGAATAAACAGCCTGTCTGAATACTGAAAACAAGAATATTTTCCCCTCGAGTTATGGAACACAAAATAAATGAATAGACCAGAACCGGTTTCTTGTCTTCCTTTTAATTTTTTTTTTAAACCAAAAACAAAAAAAAATTTCCATGTAGGACACAAATCCTATTTTAGGATGCCCTCTTACCATTTTTGCCTGAATGAAATCATAATCATGTAGCTCAGATCTGTCTGAAGCACCAAAACCAGACATGTCCGCATAAGCAATAAAATAAACATGTCAATGTCTATGTGCTTATGTATATTTATGACAAAGGAAAAAGCATGTAAATAGAGTCTCACTATGACCACATACAAAACACATTTTCATTCATTCTGTATATGCGTGTGCTATTTTCTCAGTTTCTCTATTTTACTACAGCTTTTGGAATACATGATTCTGTCAATTGTGGCATTGAAATATTTTTTTGGAATAACTTACAGTAATAACTTTATATTTGACCGCTGTCCCAGGCAAATAATTTTCTACATACACTACCATACAAAAGTTTGGGGTCAGTTCGAATAAATTAATACCTTCATTCAAGTGAAAGTAAAGACATTATAAGATTGCTGTCAAAAAAAATAAATGTTTTTTTTTTTTTTTTTACTTTTTATTCATCAATATTAATGGTTTTCGCACATATAAAGCAGCACAACCGTTTCCAACATTGATAATAATAGGAAATGTTTCTTGAGGAGCAAATCATAATATTAGAATGATTATTAGAAGGATCATGTGACACTGAAGACTGGCGTGATGATGCAGAAAATTCAGCTTTGCCATCACAATTAATAAATGATATTTTAAATAATTTAAAATAGAACATTTTAGTGACATTTCCGTTTTACTGCATTTTTGATCAAATAAATGCCTAATATGCATAATATAAATGCAATATTTAAAAAAACAATTTCCACAGGTCTCTTCTCTATTATAATAAACATAATTATTTTATTATTGTACAATATCAATAACACATATATATATATATATATATATATATATATATATATAACAAAGAATAAATGTATTCTTTAAAAAAGAATATATTTATAAATGTATAATATTGGCCATCAGTTAACAGTCATAACATGAAAGTAACTATCAGTAGTAGCTGGAATTTCAATAATAATGCATTCTTGTTCATATCTACGGTCTCTTTTTCACATAAAAGGTTTTGAAAAAGGCAAAAAAAGGTTTTCACAATTCAGTCAGGCTGTTTATCTCCAGTACACTTTTCGAGATGACCGCACACATTTATTAAAGCACTAACTGAGCCACATGAATCAATATATAAACAGGTATTAAAAACTAATTTTTGTATATGTATATATACACACAGGTTTGTATATATACACCATGTTCTTTTATATGTGCCTGTGGTTTCTAGGTTTCAGGACAGCACAATATTCCACGGGAAAATAAGGTCATTCTGTCCAGAACTGGAACAGACTCCAATCAAAGCAATTCTCCCCACCTCAAATCACTTGGACACATGGAGCCATGTGGCTATGGAAGAGCATTTTTAGAAATGTCACCTCCAGGCTTCAGTGAGTCAGCTGACCCTTTCGAAATCATAAAGCAAGGGTGTTTTTCGCTTCAGCAGGAGAGATAAAGATGCCACGGCAAACAGCTTTCAGTCCAGGCGTTCAAAGCTTTCTTGTGTAGTAATTAGGCCTTCCTGCCTCAGCTGTAACAAAGTGCCCGTCGAAATGAGAGCCTTTGCTACAAAGTCAGCCCTCTCTAAACAGCTATTAATGAAATTTCAGGGCATCTGACATTTCAGTGCTTTTCACAATCACACTATGCGGCCCTGATCTTTATTTATTTATTTTTTTTAACTAATGGAAGAATTCTAAAGAAAGTGTTACTAAACTATTTCAAAGTTTTAGGATGTGTGAAAGTCTTACTGTCCACCGAAGTCTATGTAGAACCACCTCTGCAGGAGCTCATAGGTCACTAGAGTCACTCCAAACTGAGGCGAGGAGCGAAACACACGTGCTGAGGGAGAAAAAAAAAAACATTAAAATGAAGCATCAGCATGCAGTCTGTATAGATTTTTTTTTTAAACTGACTTAGTAGAAGGATATAAAGGCATGCTACAACACACCATTATTCCCCCCAAAATAATGTGTTCACCCTATTGTTGATCCAAACCTGGATAGATCAATTCTAAGAAGTTCTTAAGAATGTTTCTAAGTGCAATTCTTGAAAATTTCTAAAGTTCTCAGATATTTTCTTAAAAACATCCATGAGACGACGACAATGACAGGTTTTGGTGTTATCACACTGTAAGCCTCGCTGATCAACACTATGAAGAAACACCTCAAAGGCCGTCTTTTGTGCTGCCTGCAGATTACCGTAATAATGCTACTAAGCACTAATAATATTTTTGTTTCTTAAAGAACCTTCTTTTCAGGAGTTTTGTCTTTGGAAAGATCTTAAGAAAAAAGATAAGATCATACTTAAGAACTCTTTTTTGAAATGCAAAATATTCTTATTCTTTATTCTTAAGTTAGAACAGAGTTAAGAAGAATTGTATTATTGCGAATGTTTTGTGAACACAGCTCCTGTGTGACTTTCACTCAACAAAAGGAGAAAATTTCCCAAAAGCAATCACAGAAAGTCCACGGCTGCGTTTCTCCAACAAAAGTTGTCCATACGATGTTTGCACTATATTTCAAGTCTTCTGAAGTCATATGGTCATAGTTTTCTCTGAGGAA